ACTGTTACTGGGGTAGGATAAATGCGTTAATTGCTGAAAAGAACTGGTACGTTGCTGAGCAGAGTGGAAGGGACTCGATTTGGAAGTGGGGAGCCAATAATCATGATGCTTCTGCGTTTCTGAGGTAATAGATCGTCTTCCAGAAAACCAGTGAGATAGACTGTTATCCAGCTATATACTATTTGAAGCTGCATTTAAGATGGGGTGGGGTCCCTGGTGAGAGACATCTGTCCTGGTTGGCGGATAGCCATCCAAGGTCACGAAGACAGGTTGGTTTGGTTCCTCCTCAACTTGGTGTAACTTGTGAAATTTGAACAATCTGGTGTTTCTCGTACAGTTTTCATTCTGCCCACTAAAATTCTTTCATTCTACCCTGATATACTTCAGCTTGCGGACACTCCGGAATTGTCGTAGCCCTAACTTTGACCTCATTTTTCCTTTCTCCGTTTTTCCTATTTTTATTCTCTGAGGCCTGAGTCGCATCTTCACCTCAAGATGACCGTGGGAAATGGAGTATAATCGCTTTACCGCAAAGCAAATAAACGGGCAACAATGCTGGCAAAACCGCGACTGGCACGACTGTGCCATCCTTAGTACCACAATCGTAGCAGTAAAAGTAGCAAACTGGACAGAACTAGCCGGCAGTCCAGTTGATTAATAAAGGATACGTTGCAGTTAACTGCGTTTATTTTAACATTTTTAATAAATAAATGATTAGTATGCATTTTAAGGGCTGTTATTTGACCATAACATGTGTGGTTTAACTGCATCGGTAGGCCAGCTTACTTAAATATTTTCGGTTTTGTAACCTTAGCCGCTTCTGTCGCTTTGGTTTGTGATACCGTTTAACTCCGGTGGTAGTGCGCTCCTTCAGTCACACCTATCGGGTTTTCCAGTTGTAGTTTGCCTGATACGTATGTATTCCTTTTCAGCCCGTCGCATCGAAACTTTTATCAATTAACTGCGGCTTCCGTCTCGTAGCAACATTTACCGTGCCGCAAAGATAATGACCTCAGGATTACGCCCCGAAGAAGCGCTTCTGTTGTCCACTGCTAAGCGACAAAAGGGTAAGAGGAATGGTAACCTATATTGCTTATGGTTGCTCACACAGTAAAGTCATCTGGGAAAGTTCCCAACTAGTGCGAAGATGACAGGGACCCCGAGCACGTAGTCCGTAACTTTGGGAGGCTTACTGCAAAATCTCACATACCTGCGTCTTGTAGTCGCCTATTGTTGGGACTCGTGCAACTGTGGATGCCATTCCTATCAAAGCATTAGCGGAGGCTGATGCAAACTCCACGGAACTCCCGCCTACAAAATATTGCACCGGACACTTACGGTCACGTAAACATACCGAGGGGCCTACAGCGTCCAGGGTCATCAGCAAGCTACTGTAAGTCTCGCGTTCCTACTGCTCCTATTAACCCGTACTCTCGCCAGCCGTTGCACCATCTTATGTCGAGGTACTGTAAGAACTGTAGACGATTGAAAGTAAGTCGTCACAGGTGCTTCGCATTGCACTCAGCATTATTTTTAGACGAATTATGCCTGATTAGGTCGAAACAGGTCGGCCATCGCCGTATGTCCGAGGTCAACTTGCAGATGCTGCAACTGCATTCCCAAGGACTTGCATCGGGACTTTCTCTGCCATTTATCACCCTCAGTGAGCTTAAGAGATACGATGAACGGCTGAAGGACCTGGATTACAAAAGCAAGGTCGTAACCGCCTAATTATTCAAAGTGTTTTATGTCAACCATTTCTGCTCTGTGCACAGTGATAACGTGCAACTAGTCGTCCAGGGTACCATGGACCTGCTAACGTTAAGATCATTTGTCACGGAACTCACTTATTCAGGCGCAGGAGGTTCGTTTTCATTCAGCCGGACAACTAGGAACGGCATTGTACACGATATATTGACATACACTAAACTATAAAAATTACGAATGCCTCATTCAACAAAGCATGGGTGATGCAGCCTCGGATGCTGACATTACACGCCACATCAAAGCGTGGTTGCCCTCGACACGTCTAAAAAGACCGCCTGCTAAGCAAAGTAAAGCATGCAGTGCCACCAAGGAAAGCCCACTTTTTCATTATGAACATCTTTAGCCTCCTACGTTGCCAATCGCCGAAACGGACTAAACATCTTGACCGTTCCGTCTTTGACTCTAAACCCGATTGTTGTACTATACACCTTTATATACATAAACCATTCTTATACCCCGGTTGTCCTTTTCTTTTACCTTGTGATGTTCGCAGCTGCATGGCATGTGCCATTTAGCTTTCTGACCATCAGCATGCAGCGCTGCCTACATGTGTTCCTACGTCCAACAACTATGGAAACACTGCTGCGTGCACCTTAAGCTGGAACCGGCATGCAATTCGTTAGGTATTGAGTGGGCGGTAGTGTAACGTCCGCCTTCAAATATCAAGTGTAGGCAAGCAAGCTTTCTGGTGCTGCCGGCTTGCCACATATGGCTGTGAATTTCCATTAGTTAGCCACAGGATTATTTTTATTGGTTCGCCGTAAACTAGACAAAATCCATCGTTAGCCGCTCAAGGTAAACGACCCTGTCTAGTTTAGCCTAATGCTCGCGAAGGAACGTTTAGCAGGCTAACCTAAATATGAGCTGGACGTGTACTACCAGGAATGATCCGTTAAGGAGGTGGACGTACTTTCTTCTATGCGCTCAGAAAGTGCGGAACTGCTGGAAGAGTTACCGAAGCTGAAAATGAGCTATAACCTATTACAGCCACTCTGTGATCATTTAGTGGCTATTTCTAGGCTGGTTATACCCAGAAACGTTATGGGCGGTAAGCATGCAGGGATTCCTCAATGTAAGCAGCACTGAGGTCATAGGACGTATAAAATGCTTACCTGAGATAATCGCTTATAAGGTGCCAGACCGCCTTAACGTCCGCACTATTAGAAAGAAATTGATGAACCTAGGCGGTCTGAAATACAACCTAAGTAGCACCAGGCTGGGGAACAGGGTCATTAGAAACCAATGTCCTCTACTATTCAAAGTTGCTTCAGTGCGTTTGGCTCGCAAATTGCTGTCATACCAAAGCGCCATCCGGTCGCGCACAACTTTTGTCGAATTAAATTTAGCGACCGTAATCCTGATATGCAACTCCGCCGCGACCAACTAGCCGCCTCCAATGCTACTCATATGCAGGGACCAGAAAAATTTACTGACTCTCCGCTGGCTCTTAACACCCCTACTGCCTCTCGCGGTAGGGGTAAAGATGAGATAACGCAAATAGTGGTCGAGAGAACGGGGCTTGAACTCGAAACCATGAAGCCCAAGGAAGCTGATAGTTTGGAGAGACAAGTAGATTTTCGATGAGAAAATTGGGGCTGTTTGCCTTCCTCCAACTACCGAACCGATTGTACAGATCGTCTCACTTGACCAGGAGGACAAGCCGTAGTGACACTGTCGTCGCACATAGCAAACCCTGCTGGCTACACGTTGACATCAGAAGAACCCAATCGCGGCCAACGAAAGACTAGCTTGTTATCCGTCGGGGATCGACACGTTCTGACTCCTCCAAGAGAAAGGCCTCGCGAGGGCATTACACCACCTAGCTCGCCTGTTAAGGACACACCCTTCATACCAGCACAGAATTAACCAAGGTAAAAATGTCACTGTATTCGGACCACTTAGAGAGAAAGATGATGTCTAGTGCCACTGTGTTCAACGTTCCCACTGGTGCCTCCTTATGAGCGTCCAATCGTGCGCGCAGTGAAGTTGATGGAAGCGCAGCAAAGCCGCCAACGATTGAACGAATGACCAACCGAATAAGTAGATTAGCGGCACCAAACACGTTAAGTGCTAAAGAATCAATTCGGCGCACTATTAGGACGAGTTGCGTTGGGCTGCAAACTGCTACCGTGCTGCGCAAGTTATACTTCGGGCCACTAAAACGAAGTAGGTTACGAGATCCTTCAACACTTGGGACTGCTTATCGGAACAACAGGCCCAAATTCAATTTGTAATGGTCCACATGTTGCGGGCCCGTCAAAAATCCCCGCAAAAAACGCGCCAGTAACTCCGGCATAATGGCTGTGGGAAACGGAGTCCAATTTCTCCCCACAACGCAGCAGTGTTCAGCCACTCCGAGGCGCGTCCCAACTGCGAACCTTTTGACAATGCTCATTTGCAATCTACCACCTCTGCGTGGGGACTGTTTTCCCAACTTAATAACCCATAGCACTGACTGGGATCGCCCTTTGTCGGTCGTAAAAGAGCCTACAGAGGACCACTTGTCTTTTCTTTCTCTTCGCCTCAGTTGGGAGTCGGTCGGGTTGCGTGATTGCGTGTGAATCGTAGCTGGCCAGCCTTCGCGTCTAAGTCATTAGAGCGCGTCTATCGTACCCCCTCTCGTGTGCGTCCGTTTTCGAGGCCTCAGCGTCCATACGAACAAGTGCGGCTAAGATCGTTCCCACGCTCGTTCAATTTTCCGTCTCACCGGCTAAGCCAGCGTCATCAGGACAGCGCAATTCCGTTCGAGTGGTCAGCGTAACCAGCAATTATCGTAAGCGTGCTCCAACCGTGCGAGCGACAATCTTGTCACGCAATTATCTCAAGAGGCGGCGTTCCCACAATCATAACAGTGGCGACAGAGTTGACGAACCATGACTGACGAATACGCAGATTTAAAATGGATGCTGCAGCAACAGCTTAAACTGATGTCCGTGCTAACCAAAAAGCTTTCCAGTTCTTCCCTTCATGCAGGTCTGAGCGCCAATTGTCAGTCAGTGGACCAGGTGGTTAACGGCATCAGCGAATTTCTGTACGACGCCAAGGCCGGGGTAACGTTCGAATCCTGGTACAAGCGGTACGAGGACCTGTTCACCGTTGACTTGGCTTGCTAGGACGACGCGTGGAAGGTCCGCCTGCTTCTGCGCAAACTTGGTACCCTCGAACACCAGCGTTACACCAATTTCATCTTGCCGAGGAACCCACGGGACGTTACCTTTGACGACACGGTCTGAATGTTGTCACAGATTTTTGGCGAACAGTCCTCTCTGTTCAATGCTCGTTACCAATGTCTGCAGCTGGTCAAACGTGATGCCGACGACTTCATCACGTACGCGGGCATGGTCAACCGTGAATGCCAACGTTTTCAACTTGGCTCGCTCACCGAGGACCAATTCAAATGCCTGATCATCGTCTCTGGCCTCCAATCTCCACACGATGCCGATATCCGGACGCGCCTTCTGTCCAAGCTACAACATGATGGATCAGTCACACTCCAGAACCTGGCCGAGGAGTGTCGAACGCTGCTCAACCTGAAGCACGATTCTGCCATGATCCAGAACGCCGCCGCACCTGGTATGGTCCAGGCAGTCACAGCACCGAGGGCGCAATCGTCCGCGCGCCCCACCCAATCCGACCGAGCGAAGTCCCTACCCTACGCGTGCCGATTCTGTGGTGCCTGGCATTTCCACCGCGACTGCAAGTTCCGCCAGCATCGTTGTCAACGTTGTGGTAGGGTGGGGCACCGGGATGGTTACTGCCATCCTCCATCTCCCAAGGGGGCCAAAACTGGGCTGGCCCCCACCCGCGATCCAAAGAAGAGGTCCCGACCCAGACGCACACCCAAACCTGGTCCGGTTGGCAGCTCCCTGAGCCTGCTGGCCACGTTCCAAATCAACGCTGCGGATCGGAGAAAGTTCGTCGACGTCTTGATCAATGGTCAGTCGGTCCGACTGCAGTTGGACACTGCGTCGGACATCACAATCATCTCCGAGGATCTCTGGCGATCCCTTGGCAAGCCACCGTTCGAACCGACCTCCCAATCTGTCACCAGCGCCTGTGGTGGCCGCGTGCAGCTAACTGGGCAGCTGCACTGCTCCGTCTCCTTCCGGGGCGCCACGTTCAACGCGAACCTGCTACATCACGAAGGCGAAGCTCAACGTACTTGGTCTCGACTGGCTCGAAACCCTTGGCTTGGCCGATCTTCCTCTTCAGGCCATCTGCAACGTGGTACATTCTCCGACAGTACCAAACGACCGAACCGATGACAAAGCCAATCAATCCGCCCCCGTGTTCCAGCATTCTCAACAAGCCTCAAAGATGCCACCACAAAAATCATCAGTTCCTTGGCATCCGCCAGCAAAACCATGGTCTCGAGTGCACATCGATTACGCTGGTCCCATCGATGGCATTTCCTACCTGGTCATGGTCGACGCCTATTCCAAATAGCCGGAAGTGGTCGTCGTCAACCCACCAACCGCATCCGCCACTCTGGCTTGTCTCCAACGAATCTTCAGTCAACATGGCCTTCCCGAGGTCTTGGTGTCCGACAATGGTACCCAGTTTACGTCTTCCGTCTTCGAGGACTTTTGCCGCTGACACTGCATCGAACACCTCCGCTCACCGCCGTACCATCCCCAATCCAACGGTCAAGCGGAGCGATTTGTCGACACTTTCAAGAGGGCGCTTTTGAAATCTTGCGGGGAGGGGACCGTGGATGAGTGTCTTCAGGCCTTCCTGCTCTCGTACCGGTCCACACCGAATCCAGCTACGCCAGGAGGCCAGTCACCAGCTGAAGCATTGATGGGCCGCAAGCTACGCACAACCAACGAAGCGCTCATTCCGACTGAGAAGCCACCTATTCACTCTGGTCCCTGCAACAAGCACAAAGAATTCGTCTTCGGAGCCCCGGTCTACGCTCGAGACTACAGAGCAGGTCATCCTCGCTGGATCGAAGCAACAGTGACGGCCAGGCGAGGTGACATGCTGCATGATGTCTCCGTAGGTGATGACACCTGGGTTCGCCATCGAAATCAACTTCGTCCGCGCCACGAAGAAACCTCCATGCCAACCAGCCATCCAGTGCGCCTGCCGCTGCACATCCTGCTGGATACTTTCGGATTGGCCACACAACGACAGAGCACGGTCGAAGCCGCTCAGTCGCCGCCGCATCTCGAGAACCCACCTTGCCGACGAACAGAAAGAATCCGGAGGTCACCGAAATCCCTCCAGGTCAATCCTCGCCAGAAGCGGTACTCTTTGTCTTCAAAGGGAGGTGTTGCGGGCCCGTCAAAAATCCCCGCAAAAAACGCGCCAGTAACTCCGGCATAATGGCTGTGGGAAACGGAGTCCAATTTCTCCCCACAACGCAGCAGTGTTCAGCCACTCCGAGGCGCGTCCCAACTGCGAACCTTTTGACAATGCTCATTTGCAATCTACCACCTCTGCGTGGGGACTGTTTTCCTAACTTAATAACCCATAGCACTGACTGAGATCGCCCTTTGTTGGTCGTAAAAGAGCCTACAGAGGACCACTTGTCTTTTCTTTCTCTTCGCCTCAGTTGGGAGTCGGTCGGGTTGCGTGATTGCGTGTGAATCGTAGCTGGCCAGCCTTCGCGTCTAAGTCATTAGAGCGCGTCTATCGTACCCCCTCTCGTGTGCGTCCGTTTTCGAGGCCTCAGCGTCCATACGAACAAGTGCGGCTAAGATCGTTCCCACGCTCGTTCAATTTTCCGTCTCACCGGCTAAGCCAGCGTCATCAGGACAGCGCAATTCCGTTCGAGTGGTCAGCGTAACCAGCAATTATCGTAAGCGTGCTCCAACCGTGAGAGCGACAATCTTGTCACGCAATTATCTCAAGAGGCGGCGTTCCCACAATCATAAAACCACAATACCCATCATGCAGTGAAAGGGGACATGTAACCACTTGAAGAATTTCGTGTCTACCAATACAGCGACATCTGGAGCAAAACGGTACCACGGAGGGACCACGCAGAGAAGCCTACCCGAAATGGCTAGGTTGCGTACATCTACTTTTAAAACACCAAAGTGGGCTACCACCATAAAATAATTTGCCGCTGTGGTCCAGTCGGCGTACCAGGATAGGCAGCATCTTTATATTTAATGTTCTCGAAGTAATATTGGCGGATGAGTTTAAGCAGGCAATGGCTGCAATCAACGGAATTGAAGAAAATTCGTTCCAGGTGCAGCGGCTGTACAAACAGAGTTCTGAATACCCCGCTTAAAGTAAAATGAGTACTGTTGACGAAACAGCCTTGCGCTTAGTAGTATCAGGTTGCGAAGAACTGCTGATTTAACCAAGCAAAAGCAATTGCATTTTAGTCCGCCAAAGCGTGCTGACCGGAAACGTACCCCAACTAATAGCCAAATGTCCTCGCATACCAGCCATGTAGATAGTATGCCCGAGACGATAACTCCTTCTAGTAATAACCTAGCCGCCCCCTACCAACCTAAGGCACGTCAAAACTGCAACGACTCTAACCCACCTAGTACCTCGATAGAACCGGTTTTCGGCTGGGACAATGGTGGGTACAGCGCTTTCGTCTTCAAACTGAAGGAATACGTAAATAACTGGTTTATACTCCACGGGTATGCTCTGTTAGGTACAAAGGTATAATAAATAAAGTAATACCTAGTTCATTCTCGCACAAACGTGATACACCAGTGCAGGCGGGTTTAAGTTTCTGGCAGAGCCACAGAAACAAAATAAGCATATGTGCACCGGACAGACGTAGGTGTTCGCGAAGTACGTGGTTAAAAACGCTACATTCCATTTGCCACCTCGGTGGATGACTTTAAATGTACATTAATTGGGGGAAAACGTTGGGAGGATCACCAACCGTTTCGTTACATTTGCGGTCCCGAGCTTAGTCACTGCTAAGCTGCACAATTGGGTGCATCAACACATGAGGCATAACAAGCTCTCATGTTCGAGTAAGCTCAATCCACAGAACTAGAGTTGGTAATGCCCCACCAACGCAGACCGAAATAGATTTCATGCCCCAAAGCAATTTGCTAACTTTTACAAAATTTTCTTATACTCATTTCTTTATTATTAGTGAAAGGCTCCTCTAGCTTACTGATATTGGAGACATAGCCGCATGAATATAGAAAATCGGCTCTAAGAGCTAAAACTTGCGATATTTAGCTAAGAACTGCGTGCATTTTCCGGGCTAACATTTGTCAACTGATCCTAGAGGTCTACTATGTTACTCAGGTAGGCATAGCTCATGCGGCCTTGGTATAAACTTCAGAACTACTTAGAGGCTTAAAAAGTATTAAACTCTACATTCCTAGTGGTTTATGTGGCTCAGTAGCCACTGAAAATTGTATACGGAGACCTTCTGACGGTGGGTTAATTATAAGTTCTCCGGAATTCCCATCAACACCTAGTACTCCTTACTGGATTTCTAGTGTTTTCGAGCTAAAATATAGTTCATTTGTGTATATTTGCAATACATGCCTGCAAAGTGTACTTATCGGCCACCTACGAAGTCCCTAGTTGTTGCAAATTATTACGGGCTAGTTAGAGCATTTCTAGTTAATTATACCTATTTAGAACAAATACCGTTTTGCTACATTTAACATTTTCTTTTCTTTTTTCTGCAAGCTGCTTACAAAGCAGAAAGCCATATTTAGCGAAAAACAATAATAGCCTTATTCGTAGACCATCATTCAATTGCGAATAACTAGCAAACTACTGCACTTTAGCATTATTTTTACTTTCAACATAATCAGCGGTTAAAACTTGTCCTGAGCAGCCTATTTTATGCTACTTTACGTAGTATTCTGGACTTAGAAAATGTTTTCTTTTTTCTGAGATTTGCTCAGGTTGAAATATCGTGCCAGAATGCAACATCGGCGCAAGAAAGTTTGGCAATACTTCTTTGTTAATTTGTATTTGTCTAGGGAAGCTGGCCGCCTTAGTATGTCTCTTAACAAATCCTATTATTTTCATCTGCATTTCTCGAAATTATTTTTTTAACTTTTGGTATCCTCTAATATTCCGCCACTCTCATTTCTTCCAACAATTGTGAAGACTGAGCGGGCCAAAAATGTCCAATGAAGTTAAAGGGGTTGAGGTGAAATTGATCCTGTTCCAAAGAGAAACGGCGCAACTACGTCTCTGCGCAGCTTTCACAACAAAAGAACAAGGAGCTCAATATCGCCCGGAGGAATCAGAAAAATTGCAAGGTGGGCGCCTGCGACCCCAACAGCTGTACATCAAACAATGCCAATTCATTTGTAATTGCCAACTAGGAACATATACTGGTATCTTGACTACTTTCATGCGAGAGCATAGGATTAATGTAAAGATTGATCTGAACCCTTAAGGGTGAAGCCTCTAGCCGGTCTAGTAATGTACCTATGTTTTTGTTTTTTTATTATGAAGCTGCCAGGCACAGCTTTGTGACTAACTGTGATCAACTCCGCAACGCAACCATGCCTACCTAGCTGTAGCTGAAACTGCCAAAAAGCGGCGGGCTACAATCTGCCTTGATCAATTGGGAAGCGAGCAGACGTTCAAGGAATGCAAACAATGCACCCAAGTTTGGCAGCCGGTCCGGTAGCGGTTCATGCGACCCTCAACAGAACCCCATAATTTCAGACTTCAATACAGCGGCTTCATCCTGCAGATGGATGCAACTGGATCCGAAATTTAAGGCCAGCAATTCCTATGGTAAAAGCCCACAACAATAAACATTTTATATCACATGGAAATGAGCTGGGACAAGCTCATCCAGAAGCCCACTAAGGCACTACCGAGCAACCGACGCCAAGTCTGATCACACACTTCCTGCACCTTATCCAGATGGCTCAGTAGCAAGCAGTGACTTCTTCGCGTCAATTGTAAAGCTTGGATACCCCTCCGTTTCTCCCTGCTACTACTTAGCAAAGATAAAGCATTTAGTTCTATGATGCACGTTCTACGTCCATTGGCCTTCCTTACCGCACCGGAAGAAATTTTGTCACTGAAGCGTGGTTCACACCATTCAACGTCGATGATTCCCGCACACTTCCTGGATATCGGCTGTATATAAGGTTTCGAATAGACAAACGAGGTGGTGAAGTGCTATCTACCTAAGACAAAATTACTCAGCAAGAAAAGAAATCCTTAACAATACCGAGACCATGGTCTCCGTATGGCTAACAGTTGATATCAGGTGACGCGCAGACTTATTAGTATGAGTTTATAGATTCCGGCTGCGTCACAAGTTAGTGATAATGCACTCCTAGCAACTTTCGAGCGTGCCTTGAGCCATTCCTGTGAATACAACATTGTCACAAGTGATAGTAACTTGCCTGACCTGGTATGCTCCCCACCCACAGTTCCTACGAACTATGCAAGTTTACCAGCTTGCCTCAACCTGGGCGGTTGGGAGTAATATGTGTCTGACCCTGCTAGAGTGAAGCAAATATAGGGCTTGATGTTTACGATAGGCATCCCAAAACTGAGAGTATCAGTAGGTCAGGGGTTTCATGGAAGAGATCACTGCTCGTTGTACATTAAACCTTCCGTCACTAATTCGGCTGGACCAGATCCAATCCAGCTTCACCGGCAGAGGAATTCCACAAATTAGGCTACTTTTGCCTTCCTTATTAGATCGAGAAATAGGGAGTATATTTTTATCCAACTCACTAGAGCAATCTGCTGAAACCATTTATAGGGAATAATTTAAGCTTGGACTGCATGGTTTCCTTTTTCCGTTTAACAAGAAGCCCAGCAAACACTCCCGCCAAACAAATTTGCTCACTAGAATGCGTCGGCTACGACACTTCTGTAGTGGAGTGAAAACTAGTCTTAAACTGCCGCACCGGAAGGAAAGGATTAGTGTCAGATAAAAGTATCAACACGCTGACCTACAGTAGTGACGGTTAGACAAACTCCACTGATTTTTACACTCCTTGATACGATATTCCTGTGTTGGTCCCGCGAAGTTCAGACTTCCCCAAGCACACAAACAAAATCTCAACACGCCGCCGCAGGAAAGCAGAAAGCGCCGTTCGAGGTCGAGAATTGTGTATATGAAAATACGGTGAATTGAAACAACTGTACAAGAAGCATAGAAAAACGAAATGAGAAAAGCGCAAGAAAGGATAAAGTTATGAACACTACAGGACTCCCCTAGAGCGTGAGTGGGCAAGCGTATGCTCGAAATGTACGTCTCACTGATTATAAAACTCTAGTTTAGAAGGTAGAACCACCGTAAGACCAAAACGTGTGCGGCTGTGTGTGTGAGTGGTTGCAGGGGGTTGCAGGGGTTGCGAAGATAGGACACTGGGATCACACATAGGCTGTGTAGGAGGAAT